TTCTTTTCCTATTTTCCCTTTCCTTCATTTTTCTTTTCTTTTCTTTTCTTTTCTTTTCTTTTCTTTTTTCTCGTTTAAACAACTTCACCTATCCCCCTATACTTCCCAATACGTAAAACTTATGTTTTATTCCAATTCATATTCTGAATATTGCGAGTAACTTGTTCATTTTGTTCAGTTTCTTTCTTACTGGGATCCATTTCTTTTTTTCTTTTTTCTATAAAATTTCTTTAACGAAGAATTCTGAAATACGTGGATCGATAAGAATGACACACAACACGCGTTGGATTTATGTAGCGAGGGTATCCGCAAAGACAGCTATAAAAATATAGATTTTCATGGTATAGAAACACGTCGTAAGGGGTGGCAAATAGTACAAGCAAAAGAGAAAAAAAAAAGAGAAAGAAAAGAAAAGAAAAACTTTCCCGTAGGCTGTGAAAGAGGAGAAAAAAAGATGGGAGGAGGTGGGAAGGTGGATAGGGGGGAGGCATTAAGATGCATAAGGCATAAAATACTTAGATTTGAAAGTTAAATACGAGTCAAGTGGCGCCCCATGCTTGAAAGAAAGAAAAAAAAAAGAGTGGGTATAACAACCATAGACGATAGAGATGTAGCAATGTTTCTTTTACCCTTTCTTCTTCTTCTTCTTCTTCTTCTTCTGTATATTGTTTAAAGGTGAAATCTTTCATGCAAAGTTCATTCTCGTTCTCTAACTTAGAATGCAATATGACGTATTCGCGTTAGTCACGTGCACGAGTTATTGCGTAGGGTTAAACACACTCTCTTGTGCTTATATTCGCATAACACCATGAGAATAATAATTCGAGGTAAATAAATATGTTAATAGTTAAGAAAAAAAGAAAAGAAAGTTTAAATTCAATACTTCGATACTAAACAAGAGGTGTTTCCCGTTCTACAATTCTATCTAGTTTTCTCCCTATAATCATAAACGTCATTGATAACAAGCTAGAGTAGTAATGTAAAGTAAGGTCATGATAATAAGTGTCGTGCGAAACACAACCATTTAGAAAAGAAAAAAGAAAAAAAAACAATCTATCCGGAGTGTAAAAAATTAAAGTCCCTTTTTTCCAAGCGACTGAATTGAAAATTATTTTTACCTGTCTCTCCATTCACAATCCCCATGAATAATAGTTTATCCTTTAGTCGGGAATTAGCTGTTTAAAAAAAAAAAAAAAGGGATGTTGAACTGATCGTTCCCTAAGGGGATCTTCAATCTAATTTATTTTGTTATGTTGTTTTTTTTTCTTGTCTTTTTTAACAACACGTAACGAAAGAGAAGGTATCGTGTCTCGTTAAGAGAAACGACGTTGTAGAGATCGGTAGCAATTTCCTGTTGGGTGAAGGGAGATATGGATGGGCGTATAGTTGGTATTATAGATATATAACCTAAACGTTGCCACGATTTCCGAGGATTCCCTTGTGAGTTAGTAGTGAGTTTAGATAGTAGTAGTAGTCGTCAGCGCTATTGTTCCGTGGTATAGCCTTAATGCGCACGTCGTTGTAAACAACGCTACAATAGAATAACTTCGTTAGCATAATCGCGTCACAGAATCGCCGCCAACACTGTTGCAGTAGCAGTAGTAGCAGTAGCATTAGCAGCAAGAACCACCACCACCACTACCACCATCAACGTCGGAACTATACTGCACCCCTTTTGAATTTTACGGGTGGTTTCTCTTTGGACTGCCTCGTGGGCGGATCCGATCCTTTACTTTTCTCTCTCTCTCTCTCTCTCTTTCTCTTTAAACATAACTAGAGTTGGTGCATAGGTATAATTTGTGTAGCCGTCGATTGAATCGTTTCCTGTCTTCTTAACAACGTTAACGAATAAACCTAAACCTGTGCTATCTATAATGTAAGATAAGAAACCGTAGATAATTGTAACAAATATTTCAGAGTTCTATCTATTTTCGAATGAAAGGATCATTGATATTACTATATGCGGTATTACTTCGTAGTTTGACACAGTATAAGAGCAAACCCAAAAATTAGCTTTTATTATAGAAAGTAGGGGGGAACAATTGCGGACACGCGCCCGAACGAAGATTGAAATTTAGTCCGACGATGTTTAACCGTAGCTAGCTTTCTCTTTCTCTTTCTCCCTTTTTCAAAGTTTCCTTTTCAAGTCCCTTTTCAAGCCACTCGTTTCCTTTAGCCCTGGCATTTGCGAGTTGTTGGGGACTCACAATCAAACCGATGATAGGAAGAAGTGGTGGGGTGGGTTGGGGAAGGGCTCACAATAGAAATGTTAAACGAGAATCGCGGATTCGTAACGCTCGTCACTCTCGTTTTGCCATTCGAGCAAAGCTAGCTAGCAAGTTACCAAGAGCTTTCGTGTCTGCAGACACAACACGTCAATTTGCGTTGCGTTGAGCGTGCGCGCGGGCGCGGGCGCACTCACTCACGCACGTTAGCGAAAAGGGGGAAAAGCGTAACTCCCAAACTGATGCACAGAAGAACGAGAATGAACGAGAATGAACGAACGAGCCAACGAACGAACGATGGCGGTTGGGATGATGTTAGAGGGTGCGATATGGCTGATGCGAGAAACGACAAGCGTGGTGCTGGTCGAAACCCCCTATCCCTCTTCCTCTACCACCACCAACCCTCTCCACCTATTCCTATCTCTATCTTCTATCCCACCAAACTTCGAACCCAAAACCACCCCGTTTTCTACCCTCCTCCTGGGCCTGCCTGTCCGTCGACGTTCCTGTCGACGCTCGTCATGATATGATGGCTAGCAATCAATGCTTAACCGCTCTTTCACCCTCCCCCGACCCCTGTTTTCTCTCTCTACCCCATTTCGTTTATTCCACAAGCGAGAAAATGTTAGAGAAGAGAGACGCCTCTTAATTCTTTATTTGGACGTAACGTAACGATCGTCGAGACGTTTAATCGTTAATGCTCATCTTTCTCTCCCTTCCTCCCCCTGTGTAATTTTCCTTGGTTTTTTGTTTTTTTTTTTTCTTAATTTTAATTTATATTTTTTTAAATTTTCTTTTTGGTCTTTAATAAGCGATCATTGAAAGAGAAAATAAACAGAATTAATTTGTTAAAGAGAGAAATTTTGGATTGTTGTTTATTCAAATATCTCTCTATGGGAGATTTTTTGTTTTTTTGGGGGGGGAGGTGGGAGAGATGGAAGAAAGTAAAGAAGAAGAAAGTAACCAAGGATTAAAATATTTTACGTTAGATGCGATGAGAATTTACCCGAGAAACCGCAAAAGTCTCCTCTATTACGTTCTTGATGACGAGTCAAGTTGGAGAAAGAATGAGGGATGAAAGGAGGGATGAAGGAAAGAGAGGTAGAGTAGGAGGAGGAGGGGCCAGTAGGAAGAGCGTTGATAAAAGCTTACGTAAATTCGTCGTCGTGCCATTAGGGCTTTTCTCCCTCTCGTTACCCTTCCCCTTTTCTTGGGAATTCGACTCAGGCCACTAGCTCGAGTGCGCTACGCCGTAATGCCATGAAAAATAATCTCAACCCCACTTCTCTCTTCTCCTCCTCCTCCTCTTCTTTCTCTTTCTCTTCTCTTCTTTTCCCTTCACCCCTCAACCCATCATCCCCCTTTCTCGCCTCTCTCTCTCTCTCTCTGCTCTCTCTGCTCTCTCATACGACGCCCGCTGCGGACGTCAAAATATGACAGCTCTCTCGGGTCACCACTTTCGGGCGACAAGAGTTACCACCATAGCAGGGGGTTGCCACGGACGATCATTAAAATAAAGCGCCACTCGCGAATTTATACTATTGTCTCTCTTTTTTTACTTTCTACGTTTTTTCTTTCTCTCTCTATTTCGTTCAACGATTTTTTCATTATATCTATAGTTATATGTATGTGTATATGTATTTTTAGCAATGATATATATACATTATAATATACAGATGTATATATATATATATATATATA